CATGGAAGTAAGGCCTGGCAGGAATTTGACTTTGGGCTTGAACAAAGTAGGCCTCGGGCAGGAATTTAATTTTGTGCTAGGACTCACTTGGAAGTAGGCTCAAGATGAATACAGATGAGGAATGTGTTCTTTGTATCTTGATAGGTCTTGTTAAGACCCTGAATACTGTAATCTTGGGACCTATTGTCTATGCTTGGTTTGCTCCTTACCTACCTAGTCTATGCTTCCTTTGTCCTTTTACTACTTTATGACTTAGCCAGTTTCAGCCTAAGAACAGGCTGGGGTCATGCTACAGAGTTGACTAATTGTCTTTTTTCTTTTTAATTCTCCTTCCCTCCCCAGGACCGTTGACTGACTGAGCTGGCTTGGTCAAAAAAACTAAGTGTTTTGGTAAATGTCTGTCATCCCAGAACCAGAGGCAGGAGGATCAGAAGTTCAAAATCATCAGTGCCAACATAGGAAGTTTAGGTTAGACTGGGCAAGAGTTCCTTGAAGAAAAAAAAAGTTTGGATATTATCCTATTTGGAGCATGTTTCATTGTGTGTGATTACACACACAAAGTTATCCACAAATTATATTTAGTGTGCAAAAGCCAAGGACCATCAGCTATGAGGCTTACTGGAGAAGCCAAAGACCATGAGCTAAAGATGTAGGCTGCAGGTATAAATGAGGTGTGCTTTTAGAGCATATGTTCCAGATGGCTGTCAGTTGATCCAGCTAAGCACAACTCTAGAAATGAACTGCCAAATAACCAACAGGCATTGTTACGGGGACACCAAGTACTTTTTTTTTGGAGATAGGGTTTCTCTGTATAACAGAACCTGTCCTGGAATCTATTTGTAGACCAGGCTGGCCTTGAACTCAGGGTTTCTCTGTGTACCAAAGCCCAGGCTGTCCTGGAATCTGTTTGTAGACCAGGCTGGCCTTGAACTCAGAGATTTGCCTGCCTTTACTTTCCAGAGTGCTGGGATTAAAAGTGTGTGCCACCATGCCCAGTTTAGTACTTTTAATGCAGACAATTTACTGATTTGTGGAGTTAGTAGAAAGGCTGAGTGGTCCACAGGAAACTGAAGAAAGTTCACATCCCAATACAGCCTCTTCCACATAGAATCTGGCCTTGGGAGATGAATCTTGCATTGGCCAATGGAGCACTAAGTTACTGAGTCTTCTGGAGCAGTTAGGGAGCTGACTCCTTTCAAATCCCAAAAGCAGAATCATTGTTAAGGCACACCATGAAGAGATTTTCTTATCATTATTAGGTTTAAGTGCAACACAGGATTAAAGGGGAAGAAACTTTACTTCCGGAATAGTGAATTTTGTTTCTATACTTCTGGGGGTAACATAATCTGCAGGCAGTAAAGAAGTCAGTTTAGAAATTTTGTCTTTGGCCAGGCAGTGGTGGCGCATGCCTTTAATCCCAGCACTAGGGAGGTAGATGCAGGTGGATTTCTGAGTTCGAGGCCAGCCTGGTCTACAGAGTGAGTTAGAGAAACCCTGTCTCAGGAAAAAAAAAATTGTCTTTGAGTAGGCTCTCTAAAGATTATCAGAGAAGACATCAGAGTTTACCTAGGGAGCATACTTAAGGAGCCTGCCAGTGTTTTGCGCCTTTTACTTTGTTAGTTCAGGCGCTAACCATTTACTTTATGATTTTATAGAAGACAATTGGCCAAGTCTGAGTAGGCCCAGATTAGTGTCTGTCTCTCCTTCTCAATACTCAGGATCACCTAAATATAGAGGGAATGATCTTGTAAGAAATGCTGACCCTTGATTTCCAAACACGGCATTGTACTGAGGATGCAGGGGTCATAGGGGCTGCTTAATGGGACCAAGTGGTGTACGGAAACTGGGGACTCTCTACATGGAGTACAAAGATGTAAGGAGAGGTTATGGTGACTGAAACAAAACAAAAAGATACAGAGGAAGACAACATAACCAGTTGAAATACCACAGAACACAAAGTCAAATAACCCAACTTTATTTATCTGGAAAATGGAGTGAATTCATTCACTGGTGTTTAAAGCCTGAGTCTGCATGTTCTCCTTAGGGAGGCTGGCTGTGTCTGGCAGGGGCTCTGATGGTTTGAAATCTAGATAGTGGAGGAGAATCAGAGGATTATTAGTTTCCTAAGATTGTGGCATCCCTTACTTTAATCGGGCTCACCTCCCTTCCCTTTCAGTTCTACGCTCTCCACCGTCCTATCTCTTAGAGGCTCCCTCATCTTTCCGTACCACCGCTCACCGGCCTGATTTTCCAGCTGGGCTTCAGGCCTGTCGCCCCAGAGCAGATGCTTGGGGTCATTGAGGAACCGCTGGCTTCGCAGGCATGTCAGACAGGTTTGTACTGTCCAGCGCTGTCCCTTTCGGCCTGTGGCATGAATGGGAAAGGAGAAGAGTGCGCCCTAGGTTTCTGAGAAATAGGTTTTGCTTTTTTCTATGTATGAAGTTTTTCTTCCACCATCAATAGAGATTCCATTCCGTCTGCACTTGGAATGCAGATCTGATGTGTGTGGGAGGCCTGTATACATACCAATCCCTTGGAACTCTAAGGTGATGTTCAAACTCTTTAACACAGTCTAACTTCCTGTCCAGTCTCACCTCTATCTTGCCTGTCTCAAACTCCAGTCTCCTGAGTATTCATTTTCCTATAGCACAGATTCTCTTTTTAAAATTCCTTATTTTTATTTATTCATATTGTATACATGTATACGTGTTTGTGTTATATGCATGAGTACTATGTACAGGAGCACTCATCTAGGTATATATGTTGGAGGACAGAAATCTAGTTTGGCTGTCTTCCTATACCATGTTCCACCATGTCTTTTGGAACAGGGTCTCTCACTGAACCTGGAACTAGATGTTTTCAGCTAGCCTGCCTGGCCAGAGAGGTCCCCAGGATCTGTATGTCTCCCACTTGCTCTCCAAGGCTGGGGTCACACCCTACTGTACACAGGTGCTGGAGATCTGAAGTCAGGCCCTCATGCTTAAGCTTATGGGCACCTTACCCACTGAACCATCTCCCAGCACACGTTCTCTCCTGTGGGAATCCCAACGTCTAGAGTGTCTGACTCTTGTCTATCATGAACATACCTTCCTCCCTGCCACTGGTAGAAGTAACTCAGCACTCTACCCTCACCAATCCAAGCATTCATTTAAAAATACTACTCTAGTAGCTGGGTGTGCTGTCTCATGCTTGTAATCCTAGCTTGGGATGCGAGGGCAGGAGACTGCAGGGAATTGGAGGCCAGCCTGGGATACTGTGACACTTGTGTCAAAAATAAAAACAAATAAAATAAAAATTGAAAATCAAAAGCAAAGAGATGGTATGTGGTTTTGTTTGAGACAGGGTTTCTTTGTGCAGCCCTGGCCGGTCTGGATTATGTAGATCAGGCTAGGCTCATGAGATTCACCTGCTTCTACCTCCCAAGTGCTGGGATAAAAGGCGTGAAACTCCACAACCCACTCAGCCAGGAAGTAGTACTTAATGCACCCTAGGAATTAAATAACGAAATTGTTTTGTTTTTTTAAACTAGAGTGTCATGTAGTCCAAGATGATCTTAGGGACAAGACAACTTGCATAGTCTCCACCTCCAGGAGGAGCTGCTGGGCCCTGACCAGTCCTCCAGTGTCCCCACCGCATAAGTGTTTCTGGGGCAGCACTCACGTCTCTGGCGCTGCGTGCAGGTGAGGCCCGGGATGAGGAGAGAGGAGCAGCTGCGACAGAGCGTCCTCTTCACAGAGGGGTCCCTGGGTGAGGAGGAGAGGAGGTCGCTGCCTGCCTGCCTGCCAGCCCGCGCCCGGGTCCCGCCCGCTAGCCTGTGCCTTACTGCCGCAGGACCAGCCGCTTCGCGATGGTCTTCTCTGTGTGGCAGTAAAACCTAGCCAGTGCCTGGTTCTCGGGGTTCTCAGAGAGGACGCAGTGTGCAGCCTGGGGACAAAGACGGCCATCTGGGTCAGTCCTCGGCCGCAGCACCGGACTGCCACCCACCCCGAGCACTGTCTCACCTGGTACAGGAAGCTGAGTCTCTGGAAGGCCTCCCGGTCCTTCACTGGGCCCGCCATGAGTGTCAGCCCCTCCTTGCGGATGTCCTGCCCCAGACGTGCGCAAGGCCTGCTGGGAACTGTAGTGCAGGGGCCGCAGTCCTGCCACCACCCTTGTCAGAGACCAGACAATCCCACTCACCGGTCCTGTGTGTGCATCCTTCCCCGGCAGGCGGCCCTAGCTTGGTATTCCTCATGTATTTACTAGGTAGGGCCCAGTGGAGCAAGTAAAGGATCTTAAAATAGTGAAACATAAAGAAGTCCGGTCTTTTACTGTATGGTGGTTGGAAAGAGGATTGTTTGAGGTGGACAATGGATTAGACTTTCTGTCTTACTTTCCTGAAGCCAAAGGTATATGCTTGGGACATCTATGGACTGATATAACAAAACAGACAATGCCCAGAATAATTGGTATTATATTCTTACTATCTCATCACTGGGGAGGTTGAGGGAGGATTATCCTGAATTACAGGCTATGAATTATGGGCTATATTGGCAGACTCTGTCCCAAAAATAGTAAGTTAACAGGACAAAACATCCCTGAGCAAAGAGCTCCTAGCCCATCTCCCACTTCTTCTTATTAAAGGCACTTGCTGAAAAAAAAAAAAAAAAAGACAGCAGCACCCAGTTACTGGCTAAGATCATCCAAGATCAGAAGCAGAGGGGGATCCAAGCCAAAACCCAAGTTGAGGAAGGCAGAGATCTCTTCCTGTCTTTTAGGGCGCCTGCCAGAATGGGTGGAGAACCAGGCTTCCAGCTCAGAACAAGGCAATTAGTTGAAACTTACCCTGGGTGTTGTTTTATGGACCTTCAGAGTCAAATGAGGGAAGTGTATTAAAATGTGGATTCCTAAGCCGCTCACCCAAACCTCCATTAAGGATAGAGTGAGACCTGAGAACATAGCTTCCACACTCATCCATTCTCACATAAGGCCACTACCAAATTACCACACAACTCAAGATATCACATTAGTGGATCCTTTGTTCCATATTTTCACCAACCAAATTATCTTGCCACAAAGAACCACAGTCAAGGCACAAAGGTAAGAGGAGAGTGGACAAAGTCCTGTTGAGGTGGTAGGAGGAACTGAATGCCCTCAATGCAGTTTGTCTCAGTCTTGTGTGAAGATTACCCAGGCAACAGATAATCCAGGTTGTTTGGTTTGGCATGCATCACGTTACCTTTTGTGACAAAATATGTACCCTATCAGTTGTTTATTTTGGCCTAAAATTAAGATAATTTACATTCTCTGAAAAGGGGAATGTCAAAGGGTGAAGGATAGAAATAGAAGCTTAGCTGTCTTCTGGCCCTTTGCTACACAAACCACCCTCTTCTACCCTGTTCTCGTGGGGTGAGAAAGACTCTGTTGCCTTCCCTTCTTTCCTTAGATATTTGAGCCAGGGGACAAGGTGGACAACTTGGGAATAGCTACTTAGTAACATTCTTTAAGGCCAAGGCTTTGGCTATACCTTTCTCTTGCCTCTAGTATCTGACTCCTCTCCAAGTTGCTTTGAGAAACAATGGAAGAGCAGATGTATGTCTTGCAGGATTGCTTCCATCTTGCCTTTAGAAGGGAGCAAGAAGAGCCTACTTTTTAGAGACAGTCAACTGCAGGAAACAGGAATAACCCAAGCCTTTGGGACATGGATTCTCCTTTCTCCCCATCCTTTCCTTCTCCCCAAATCTGAACCTCTGGCTAATCCTATGGGTAATGATAGCATTACCCTAAGAAGAAAAGAGACCAAAGAAATCCCCCTTCCCTTCATTCATTCTAGAAACATTCCTTCAGCCTCTTCCCTGATCCTTCTAACTTTAATGCTCAATCTCTGACCCCAGAAAAGCCCTTCAACTTCCAGACTCATGACAGCAACTGCCACTCATCTTCCCAACACAGAGGTATACAGATCCCTATGCGCTCCCACAAGGAACAAGGCTGAGTCACAGAAGCCTTTTAAAGGTTTCTGTTTCCTGAATTTTAAGCAAGTTAAAACCCTTTCCTAAAAACTTTGTTTCTGGAAAGCCTTTTGCTTTCTCAACCTGTTCTTGTGCAGTAGGAAACCTGCAGGACATCAGAGTACAATCCCCTGGGAGTCCACTCTCCTACTACAGTAAGGAGGGACACTCATCTGTGCTCGGTCATGCAGCCCAGTCCTATCTTTACTCCTTCACACAAACCATCCCAGATTCGAGGTGGTTTCTCAAGATGGCTCAAGACTGGAACCACGCAGACACCAAGATATTCCAGCAGGCCAGTTAGGAAGGCCCACCACTCTTGACCCTGCCTCACCCCAATTAAACTGCATCTCTTGTCATTCCCAATCTGTTGGGGGCCTGATGGTAAGAGGTGCAGCATTCTTCCGACCGGCTCGGATCCCTGGGTAGAAGAGGGGCCAAAGTTTTTCAGTAAAAGTATCAGTGAAGGTGTAGATATGTGAACGGTCTGTGACGTTGTAAAAAGACAGTGTTCCAGCCTCATAGTCTAGGAATATGCCTACCCGCTTAGGTTTCACCTTGATGTGCAAAGGGGTGAAAGGCGTAGTGGTGGCTGCATACTTGTCCCCATTCCACAGCCGCACACGCCAGTAGCCAGTCTCAGGGAGTGGAGTCAGTTCGCCCTTTCTGCTCACAGAGTCCCGGCATACTCCTACTGCCCAGTGGGTTTTGTCACCCACCTCCACCTCCCAGTAGTGTCGACCTGAGGTGAATCCTTCAGTAGCTAAGACACAAGGGTAGAAAGTGAAACGCTGCGGTGTGTCAGGGAGGTCTCGGAGTCTTGTCTCCACAAACTTGACACTTTTCCGATCCTCTGACAGGACGAGGTTAGGATGAGCCGTCTCAGGGTCCAGGGTCACATCCGCTGGCGGAAGAAGCCAGAGTGGAGCTAGATGAGGATGGGAATAGCTAAACATCCCTGCCTCACTTTCCCAGCCTCCCTATACAAAGCCTGGCTCCTGCAAGGTCCCCAGAACACTATGGGTTGGTTAACCTGAAATCATGCTTGCTTTTGCTGAATAGAATAGTGAAAGCTACTGTCTGAGGGAGGGCAGAGAGAAGGAGCCATATCAAGTGGGCGGTAGGGGATGGGGAGAGCATGAACAGGAACTTGCATCCTGAAATAGTCCTGTTTTGTGACTGTTTTTCCCTGCATAAATATTAACGATGTCCTCTTTCACTTTCCTGGCTAAGATGGCAAATGCCATCCATGCTCACTCCACCTGATGGGTTAGGAACCCTTTACCATGTTTAGGTCCCTGTTTAGAGCAGATGACACCTAAGGCTTCTTCTCTGAACTCTATGATTGATGGGGCAGGTGGAATGGGCCTAAGAAAACTAAAGCTCACTGGAAGGATGGGAACCTTCCACTCCTCTGCATGTCCTCTGCCAGTTTGGGAACAACTCACCAATTAGCTGCTTAAGAATTTTCCTTAGGGCAAAGTACTGCCGGGGGAAATTGCTGAAGTTCTTTTCCAGCTCTATAGATACCGAAGTCACCTCCATGGTCTTCACCTTCTCACATCTAGGAAGGATGGGAGATAAAGAGCAGGGTCAGGGGAGCTGTAGCCAACTGAATATGCAAGTGGTGTCATCTTTACTGAAAAGTAGAACCAGGTCTCTCCCACTTCCCTTGCTCCTTGAAGATAGCTGCTTCGTTTTATTATACTCAAAGAGCTATGTGGTCCCCTTGACAGATCTGTACCTTAAGAATGAGCCTTACATTTCATGCAAATGGACAGTCACCCCTCAACTACTTGCCCTCCTGTGATCCCAACCTCTTCTGACATCTTGTTTGAACACGGCTACGGGCACACAGCTGTGTACTACAAGTATACAGCCACCTACAGGAATAAACAGAACATGGCTCTGTTCTCACTGCTCTGGCCAAGCATGGCCTCGTGTCAAGAGGGAGGTGAAGATTGATCACTACCAATGGTTCATCCTTCTCCGTATCCGGCTCATACACTGTATGACTTCCCCCCTCTTGCTTCCTCCAAGTCATTACTAAATCCAGTCTCTAAGCCAAGGCCGAACCCCGAGAGACAGAGTCACTTACTTTTCTAAGGTACTTTTCACATCCTAGAGGAAAAGAGAAAAGAAAGTAAGATTGGTCCTAGAATTCATTGAACACGATGGCAAAAAGGTTTCCACTCTTCTCTACAGTTCTAGATCTGCAAACTAGTCACCAGGCAAACTGAGGGTCCCATTTCGAGGGACCTAGTGTATGTCTTTCATGGAATGCCATAACTGCTGGCCATAACAATGCGTGGTAATATCATTTCTTTGTTCCTCAAAGACACTGCAGGCTCCATGCAAGGGACAGAGGTTTTGTCTGCTCTTTTCTTTGTCCTCCAAATCCAACCACACAGCTCTGCATCGTGAGGATCAGCACAGTCAGTCCCAGCCGGGTGGCACAGGACACTTCCCACTGTGGTCTGGACTCCCTTGTCTAGAGCACTGGTTAATAAACACTAATTTATACCAATCCTGATTTGAGATTCCTTGGGATCCAGATGACAAACACAATGAATCTCACCCTGCAGAATTTCCAGTTTAATGTGGTTAGCAAAGCACACACAAATGAAGACACAGAGATAGATACTAAGCAACATAAAAGTACATGTAAATGTGCAGTGATTCTTCACTGACTCAAATGCCAGTCATCTTTTCTGAGATAAGAAACCTGCTTAAGATGGTAAGACTATTTTAAGAGTTTTAGAGGTAGCAGTGGAGTGACTACTTTACAATTTAAACACATTGAGTATCCTTTATATTATGGTTCTATTCCACCTCCCCACCCCCAACCCCATTTGGGGAGTAGGTACATTAAGTTCTAGAACTGGAAAGCAATGGTAACTGCATATACAAAATTTTGAGTGCAGAGTTTATCTCTAAGTAGAACAGACCTCTATCTTCTGAAAGAATTATCTTTTTTTTTTGGGGGGGGGGTTGCACATAACGTCTGAAGAGGCCAGAAGAGGGTATTAGAACCCCTGGAGCTATAGTTAAAGAGTTCTGTAAGCTGCCACATGGGTGTTGATGAGAACTAAACCTTGTCTTCTTCAAGAGAAGCAAGTGCTCTTGACCACTGAGCCATCTCTCTAGCGTCAAGCACATAATTTCTGAAAAGACAGAAGGATATTAAAGATGTAAAAAAAAAAAAATGGTCTTGGTGTGGTGGTGCATGCCTTTAATACCAGAACTCAGAAGGCAGAGGCAGGTGGATCTCTGTGAGTGAGGCTAGCCTGGTCTACAAAGTGAGTCCAGGACAGCCAAGGCTATTAAATAGAACAGCCCTGTCTAGAAAAAATAAAAATAAAAATAAAAACAAACAAACCCAACACCCCCCTCCCAAAAAATAAAAGGAAAAAAAAAACCCAACCAACCAACCAACACCCCCCAAAAAACCACAAACAAATGGAAGGGATGGCAGAAATCTGAGCTGCCCCACTCTAGAAAAATGCCCTTAGCACATATGCTGGAAGAAAAAAACCTGGATTACAGAAATAGAGTAAGAGAGGGTGCACCCCACACTGACAGCATGGCCTGCACAAAGCTAGACTGTATTTGACCTGAGGAACTATACAGGAGCAAAGGTCGAACCTTAAGCATCTCGAAGCCTGACTGTAAGCACTTGCCCTCCACCTCAGCAGCTAAGTGGGCAAGGTCCCGGCGCCTGTCCCCAAGGTGAGCAGCATTTTCTCGAAGTCTCTGTAGAATGTCCTGTTCTTCTTCCTCCAGTCGTGAAAGCAGTGTCTGCTGCTCTTCGTCCAGTCGCCTGTGCAGCTCCTCAAACTCCTTTAAGATCTGCTGCCGGCGGCTCTCTACCAGTCTCTGAGGACAAGGGAGGATGGTATCAGGACCAGAAGGCATGAGGGAGGTCTCTCCCAGATCCACCAGGCTCAGGACAGACTTCTTTGTCACTGGAAGGCTTTAGCAGCACATTTGCTTCTCTTCTTGTAAGGGACATTATTACTTGCAAGCCCCCAACAGACAACTCACAGTGCAAATTAGTGGGAAGATTTTAAAACAATCAGTACTTGGGTTTTGTGTTCTTTTTGGCCTAAATTAACCCTTTATATTTTAATAAAACACTCAAGATTTAAGAACTCAATGATGTGATGCTATCCAGTTATGGATATCAGAGATATATTTGCTATTTTCTACTCTGATGTTTGGCTTATACAGTTTATTAAATTACAGACACTGGGAAACCTAAGATTCCCATCATGTATAACTGTGAGACATTAACCTGATGAAAACAAGAGAACACATAAGAAACGATCAGAGCCAGCAATAGTTTGATGAGTCAATACAAAGCATATATTTTGACTTTAGGGCTGAACTTGTTTTGGCTGCTATTTCTGTTTTTTTTCAGACAGGGTCTTGTACTGTAGCACAAGCTGGCCTTGGATTTGGGATCCTCTTGTCTCAGCCTCCAGAGGTGTGTGCACCATGCCCCCATTTACCATGTTAAACAGTCTAAGTCACTTCTAATGTGACTGAGAATTCCTGGGAAAGAGGCTGTGTGTACAGAGACTGCCTGGTCAGAACAGCAGTGCTGTGGACAGGTTGGACTGCTGTAGGCCTAGAGCCTACTTACATTTTATCTTGGGCTACCTTTAGCTTCCTAAATAGCCCTCTCCTCAACTTCCTCTGTGCTGGACCTAACATTCTGTAATTATCAGGTAAAAAGATAAATGTATTAATAAATCCCCAGTTTTCAGCAACCAAAAGACTAGTGTTATCAGACAGCTTAAGGCCTGTAGTTGATACTATTCTATTTTGCTATAACTTCCTATTTACTGCTTCTATTAGTGTGTTTGAAAGGTGCCTTACTTTCTGGGTTTCTTTGTTCTGTTACTATGAAAACTTCATGAAACTGTTTCCAAGTTGAAACATGGAATCTGGAGTAACCTAAATCTGTGTTTTAAGGCTATGGTCTCTCATTTTTGGCTTTAGAATAAATTTATTTATATGAGTTGTTTTTTTATGTTGACAGAGAATTCCCCAACCCAGATCAGATTCCAGATAATTTTTAGTAAATTAATTGTACAAAATCTGAAACATGCTTTTGCTAACAGTATATACTTTTACTTCTAACAAACCATCCTCTAAGTTTGAGAGTCTAGAACTCAAACAGGGACCATATCACTTTCTGAGGGTTATCAGCATGTTCTTCCTTAGGCCTTCTTGCAAGTGACCTTCCCCAGTGTAGGAGTCTCAAGTCTTTTGATTGAAAGGGAAGCATCAACTCAGGAGAGAAGCAGAGTGGATGGAAAGATGTGGACAGAGAGACAGGGCTCAGGCTCAAGAATAGTGTGTGACACAAAATCCAGTGGGCCTCAGAACTTGGCAGTCATGGGTCTAAAGCTACACCAAACAGATGGCAGACTAACTTTCATTACTGGGTCACTAGTTGCTGTCTCAGGTAGGCAATGGCAGGATGTAGTCTCACGTTTGTCCCGAACAAACATGTTCTCAACATGTGTGGTGTTATCAGCACTCCTAATGAATTATACTCACTAGGAGTATGTTTTAGGGGCCAGAGAGACGACAGAGTGGTTAAAAATACTTACTTCCTTAGCTGGGTGTGGTGGCCCACGCCTTTAAACCCCAGAGGCAAAGGCAGGCCAGTGAGTTGGAATCTCTGAGTTCAAGGACAATCTGGTCTACAAAGAGTCCAGATAACCAGAGCTCTGTAATACAGAGAAACCCTGTCTGTCACTGAAAAACAAAAGAATGCTTGCTTCTCTTCCAGAAGTCCTGAGCTTGGTTTCCAGCACTCACACTAGGTAGTACATAACCATTTGTTGACTTCTGTTCTCTGAGAATGTGTACATGGGTGTGTGCGCACACATATACTCACAAACAAAAATAAATATTAAAAAACACTAAACACTAAGCCTCTCTTAGACTTTACCTTGTCACCAAGAATACAGCTGCTTTCAGTGTCAAACACACATCTGCTCAGGAGCCTGTACTTGGTGCATCACATAGTGTCGCATAAGCTGCAAGCACAGGACTACCCTGCAGAGGCTTTTAGGGAAGTCAGGATCAAAATAGTCACAAGTTGGATTAGTAATCAAAATCACTTTAAACTGGGAGTGGTGTGCATACCTTTAATCTCAGTATTTAGTAGGCAGAGGCAGACAGATCTCGAGTCCCAGGCTAGCCAGAGCCCCATAGTGAAACTCTGCCACACAAAATAAATAAATAAATAAATAGATAAATAAATAAATATAAATTACTCTCTGATGTTACTGGATATGACAGTTGCTTTAAAATTATATAGGTAAGCTATCTTATCTGAACTTTTACTTTAAATATTTTGATCTCGCTGTAGCTAATTAGAAACTCCATCCCCACCCAGGAGATACAATCTTACTAAATAGACCTCACTGGCCTGTGCTGGCTCTGAATTTGTAATTTGGATATTGGGGATTCCCGCCCCAGCCTCCTCTGGTTACAGGTATGCACCATCATGCCTACTTCATAAACCTGTGTTTCTGTCTGCTGTGTTGGGGAACCCTCCGTCTCTACACACTTTAAAACTTTTTTACTTTATTTTTGAGACAGGGTCTTCTGTAGTCTTGGCTGTCCTCACTTGCAACCCTCCTGTCTTAGTCTCCTGATTATTGGGGTGAGATGTATGCATCACCAAGCCTTGCTCCTACAAACTATTTTAAAAGGATTAATGAGTCCAGTTCTGGAGGCTGGGATGAGAGAAAAGCA